TGTTTTTGCCTCCTTAACACCGTAGGGTAAAACAGGGAGCTCGTTCTGTCTTCCCGTTGTTACTGTTGCTGGGGAATAAATCTTTCAGGCTCCTTGCATTTTGTTGTTACTTATTCATCATTTTCAATTTATTGGCTTTCCTGCAGTTCTCTGGTCCCACTGGACTCTTCCGCACGAAGTTCTTCAACCTATGTTGTCCCCTCTTTTTATAGTCAGGCTTTTCCATGCAACTCCTGTTTTTCTCTCCACTTGCAGCTCTACTTATGTATTCAAAGACAAAATCCACGGGAGAGTGCTAGCTCCTAGGGGAACTCTGTCAATACTTGATTGGTCCTAATTATCTCGACTGCTGCCCAGGTGATCCAATAGGTCCAATATCTTGCTGGTTCAACCGCCCTCTCACTATGGTAGTGTCCTATAACATGTTGGTGCATGAGTTTTCCTGCAACCACGTCCATCTGTCCTTGCTCTCCATGTTTCTGGGACCCCAGGTGGCTCCAGGTTTTTCCCAGTCCAAATCTCCAGTGTGTTGTTTATCCCCATAACCAGCAACTTTGCTCTGCTAGAGTGAGCTCTTCTTGCAACCCTCTCAGACAAGTGTGTCCACCATTGCCTCTGTTGCTCTTTCTATTCCTCTCTTTGCATCCTGCCTGTTCCTGGGGTGCGGATCATATACATCACTGCCAATGACCGCTTTGTGTTCCCCAGACTGGAAGTGTAACTGCTATGTAGTCTCTTTCTCCCGTCTCATCTATTCCTTCATTTTCTCGGAATTTCCTCTGTTGGTTACGAGCAGCAGTAACCCCACATCCCCCCCTGCCCCTTCTATCTTTCCTACACTGATCTTGGTTATTCCTGTTGGGAAGATTGCTATTGTTATTGTCTCCTGTGAGTTTTGTTTCTGTAACTGTCTATGATGTCTGGGGACTTCTCATTGAGGCTTTTTGCATTCCTCATGTTTATTCAGTTATATCATATGCATTTGTGTTACAAACACTTCAACTTCTGTTCTAATACTGTAACATGTGTGCGGGGGGTGGTAAACAGAGCGGTTCGGTTGCTGTGTGTTGGTTGGTTTGGATTGTTCAGTTGCTTGTGGGTGTCGTGGTGGAGTCTTCTGCCAGGTGGTTTCTGGTGGTGTGCGCATTGTCCTTCCATTGATTCCTTGGCGTTTTTCTGCTTCCTTTTTAATCTTCCTCCCATTTCTCCTTACGTTTAGAACTCTCTATTTTCATTGTTTACTTTCAGTCATGTGTTCTGTCTCGATCGAGGTACAACTCGGAACTCCTGCTTGCTCTCAGCCGTGCTTTCTCCTGCTGCGGATCATGGATACTCGGGTTGATTCTTGCCTTGAAAAAATTACCTTTGAGAGGCGATTCCTTTTCTTTGAGAAACACCCAATTCTCCGAATATTGCAACTGGGTTTTCATGTCCCCTCGCCTATCACCTCATGATTCTTCAAGTCGCTTTTTTCTCCGCTCCTGCTTTTTTCATCATAAGTTTACCCTTTTGCTTCGTCTATGCCCATAGACAAACTCGGGATCTTCCCTTTCCCACCTCCACTGTGACTCCCCATTGCATCCTCTGATGGTTTAGTTCCTTCCCGTGGAGTGTTCCTTCCTTCAGTCCCCTTCCTTTTGTTATGGCCCCCCTATGCTTCTTGTTTATCTTCTGCTCTCACCTAGCTCTGGCACCCACACGTATCTGCGTAAGGTCCTTGCTCATGTCTAGTTCCTTCAAAAAAATTTTGGGGTCTTCCAACCTTTAATTCTGTCCCTAGTAGTGCTCCAAGGTCTTTGTTTTGGCCCATGTGGGTTTGACTGGACCTCTGCAGACAGTTTGTTTCCATGCTTCCTTCTGACCTGTTTGTCTGTGCTTTGTTGGAGCCATGCGATGCTACGTTCTGTAATATCTTTGTCCTCTGTGCTGTTTCTAGATGTGCTCAGCTCCTCTTTAATTCTCGATCTTGATGTCTGCTGCTGTGGCTGTTTGCTTCCACCTTCTGCATTTTCTGCTGCTAACTCTCTTCATCTTCCTGGTCCAGCTCAATCTGTCTCCTTCCCTGTCTTCCTCCCTTTTATTTGAGCTCTACCTCCCATACTCCCTCAAGTTTCGTCCTTTGGAGCCCTTGTCCTCATACTGGTTAGGGGGAGGGGAATATAGATGGTTAGGAGGGGGATATGAAGCATGGTTAGTTGGGGAGGGGTGAGGAATGGTTATTGGAGAGGGTAGAGATAGTTGGGGGAGGGGGGGTTAGATGGATTGGGGGGAGAGAGGGTGATGGATGGTTATGGGGGCAGAGGGGGAGGATGGTTATTGGAGGGAGGGGGAGGATGGTTTTTGTTGAGGGAGGGAGGTAGTTGCGGGGGTTAGACGGTTTGCGGGAAGGGGTAGGTGGTTTGGGGGAGGGGTTTAGGTGGCTCAAGGTGAGGTGGTTAGGGAAGGGGAGAGGTGGTTATGGGAGGAGGGGGTTACGTGTTTGTGTAAAGTGGTGGAGGGTGTGTGAGGGGGGTTGGGGGTGTATGTGCTGTGTGTGTGTGTGGTGTGTGTGTGTGTGTGTGTGTGTGTGTGTGTGTGTGGGTGTGTGTGTGTGTGTGTGTGTGTGTGTGTGTGTGTGGTGTGGTGTGTGAGTGGTGAGTGTGTGTGGTGTGTGTTGTGTGTGTGGGGTATGTGTGGTGCGTGGTTTTTTAGGGTTTATTTTGGGTTTTTTGTTGGTGGGTATGTGTGGTGTGTGTGCGTTGTGTGATTTGGGTGGGGGAGGTATGTGTGGTGTGTGTGGTTGGGGGAATATGTATGTGGTGTGTATGTGTGGATGTGTGTGTGTGGTGTGTATGTGTGGTGTGTTGGTGTGTGTGGTGTGTGTGTGTTGGTGTGTGTGTGTGTTGGTGTGTGTGTGTGTGGTCGTGTGTCGTGTGTGGTGTGGTGTGGTGTGTAATTGTTGTGGTGGAAATCTCCTGTGTGTGGTGTGTGTATGTGTGTGTGTGTGGTGTGTGTGTGTGGGGATGTGTATGTGTGGTGATGTGTGTCGTGTGTGGGTGTGTATGTGTGGTGTGTGAGTTAGTGGTGTGTGTATAGTGTTTTGTTGTGTGTCGTGTGTTGTGTGTCTGCTGTTTGGTGTGGTCGTTGTTGTCGGTGTGTGTGTGTGTGTGTGGGTGTGTGTGGTGTGTGTGTGGGGTGTGTGTGTGTGGCTGTGTGTATGTTCATAAATTGTGGTGGGTGTGTGTGTTGTGGTGGGTGTGTGTGGTGGCGTGTGTGTGGTGTGTGTGTGTGGTGTGTGGTGTTGCCATGTAGTGTGTGTGAACTAGTGTGTGTGTGTGTGGTGTGTTAGTTTGGGTGTGTGTTGTGTGTATGTGTGTGTTTGTGTTGTGGTGTGTATGTGTGTGTGTGATGTTTGTGTTGACTGTTTTGTGTGTTTGTGTGTGTGTATTGTGTGTAGTGTCTGTGTGTGTTTGTGTGTGTGTATGTGTGGGTGGGTGTGGATGTGTGTGTGTGTGTGTTGTTGTGTGTGGGTGTGTTTGTCTACCCTTGGTGTGTGTGGCTTCGTGTGTGAGGGAGTGGAGGGTTAGGGCGGGGTAGGTTTGTGTGGTTTGAAAGATCTGTCGTGTAGCACAAATTTTGTCTCATTTATTTTCCCAATTATCTTTCATTCTCTCTTTTTTGCCCTTTTCTGGATTTATCGTATTAATTGTTGCTGCTGTTTATATATCATTTTTCCTTGTTCACATTGAGCAAGGGATTCCCTAGCTTCCTAAGTTTCTTACTGCAATAAAAATAAAAAAAATCTACGGTAGTAAACACTGCTGTGTGAGTGCCCATGAGCAATGTGTGTGTGTGTGAGTGTGTGTGTTGTGTGTGTGTGTGTGTGTAGAGTACTTGTTGGGATGTAATGACTGGCCGCAACTTCTTGTGACTGACATCCCTCTGGGATTGACATAGCACCGATTACAATGCTGCCTTAAAAGCTTGTCCCGCCTACCTTCTCACACTCGTCATCACTAGATTCTCTATGTCTATGCTCTTTCTATTTAATTCTGGTTATAGCTTGCCTGGACAACGTGACCCTGTGAACAGTATCTACAGTATGCTAGGCTGCTCAGGGCGTCAAACATGCAAACCACAAATAGGCGTATAAACTTGCAGGGTGACAGTTGCAGCTGCTTGATGCGAAGCCGTCGTACGTAGGCTTAATCCGCCTATTTTGGAGATCCTTCACCCGTGATGATTATAACCATATATTCTCATACATCCGCTTCTCGCGCGATTTCACTCTTACACTGATGAATGGTATTACACTTCACACTATTAACACTCTATTTATATGTATAATGGCAACCACAAACTTGTCTGACGTCCACTTCTCTCAGGCCTTCCGCTGCCAATGTGGCAAACAGCGCCTAAGACCCCCAACGGTTTGCGCTTTTGAAATATTATGATTTCAGCTTTCCTCTCATTACTTTAACTAATAAACTTTAATTAGTCACTGTAGAAGTATTGTTCACCGACGTTCCATACCACCGATTATGCTAGCTGTTCATTGCTTAGCCATACAACGCTAGGATCTAGGGAGCTTTTGTTACCCACGTCTGCCACCTCCATCGGGACCCACGCTTTGTGTGTGTGTGTGTGTGTGTGTGTGGATGTGTATGTGTGTGTGTGTGTGTGTGTGGTGTGTGTGTGTGTGTTTGTGTGTGAGTTGTGTGTGTGTGTTGTGTGTGCGTGTTTGTGTGCATGTGTGTGCGTGCCAGTGTGAGCGTGTGCACCGTGTCGTGAGATGCGCGCGTGCGGGTGTGCGTAGCATGTGTATGTGTGTGTGTTGTATTTATTCATTTAGCAGTATAACTTTCAAATTACTAATAAATTATAAATTAAAGTTCAATAATAGATATGCAGAGACAATCCGGCACAATTCCACTAGGTCATTGGGGGCATGCACAAACCCATCTCAGTAGCTATCTCAGTCTCTTACTCCTGCCTTCTTCGCACCATGGTTCATTAAACACTCAGGATCTAGCCAAGACATTCCTCGACTTCATCCCATAGTCTGAAAATAATATAAGTCACTATAACTATGATTGGCATCAAATTTACAACTAACCCTCAATTCTGGAGAGGAGACTTTGACTAATGAAAAATTCTTCCGCCACAAATCATTTGTGTCTTAAGAAAAGCTTTCATTTTTCTTTTTAGATTACACTGCCACTTTGGGAGACGGGTGGTAAATTGAAATTTTTTTTTTTTAATTAGACATTCGGGCGGTAGTTGTGAGACCCATGAAAAAATCACAACAGCGAGGGGCTGTATGCTCATAGTGGTCCAGAAGGAAAGAAATTGAAACAACATCTTCAAGTGAGATATGAATGCTTCAGGGGTTCTCCAACTGCTATATACTCAAAATGATATAAGCATGCCCCAGGGGTACTCAAAGGGAATTTTTAGGGTACACAGGTGAACTATTAGTCATCATTGACGATATTTTTTTTTTTCAACACGTCAGTCGTCTCCCACCAAGGCAGGGTGACCCAAAAAGAAAGAAAATCCCCAAAAAGAAAAATACTTTCATCATCATTTAACACTTTCACCACACTCACACATTATCACTGTCTTTGCAGAGGCACTCAGATATGACAGTTTAGAGGTCCTCCAAACTGCCAATATCCCAAACCCCTCTTTTAAAGTGCAGACATTGTACTTCCCATTTCCAGGAATTTATAGACAAACAAAGTTCCCAAATAAGGAGACAACCTTGTTTAATGAAGCATGCATTTCAGTACAAAAATTCATGATTAACCTAGTCAATCTGGATGTGTACACAGTCCCAAGCAGTATGCAAGAGCAATCTACAGATTTTATAAATAAGTCAACTGCTTGGCATTCTAATGAAACCATATCACTGACTAAATTGTGTGTAGATAAGCCAGTCTTGCCCACTGGATCCCAACATGGCCATAATAAAATTTTTAATGCTTCTCACAACATACCTATGTGAGCATAGATTCTGTATTGTGCATCATACTAGGCTCTTTGTAGAGGATGACCTCAGGATGGATCAGTATACAGTTTGTTTCCCAAAAAAACATACAAAGTGTTATAAGTTTTGAAAAGCCTACAGAATGCCTATAGGATGCACACTACTGTGGGCACATTTCAGATAACAAAAACCTGCTTAATAATATATTTTAGTGATATTATGAATTTCCAAAAAAAAAAAAAAAATAATAATGAATGATTTTTAGTATGAAACAAGTCCATCTTGTATTATTATCCAAATAACCATATGCAAAATATAGGCACGTGATAAAAAAATTCACATGCAAAATACATCTAAACTGTTTTATCCGAGCGCCTCTGCAAAGACAGTGATTATGTATGAGTAATGGTGAAAGTGTTGAATGATGATGAAAGTTTTTTCTTTCTTTATGGATCAATCTGCCTCAGTGGGACACGGCCAACGTGGAAAAAAACAAACAAACAGATTTCATGAAAAAAATACAGTGGTACGCCGAGTTTCATACAGCTCCCAACTTGAACAATATATATATACAGTGGACCCCCAGTTTGCGTTATTAATCCGTTCCTGAGAACTCATCGTAAACCAAAATTATCGAAAAACGAATAAATTTTCCCCATAAGAAATAATGGAAATCAACTTAATTAATCCATGCAAGACACCCAAAAGTATGAAAAAAAAAGTTTACCACATGAAATATTAAGTTCAATGCACACAAACTGAAGAAGACATGCACAGTTTGTAGTACTCTACTAACAATAGAATACATGACACTTACCTTTAATGAAGATCTGGTGATGATTGATGGGATGGGAGGAGGGGAGAGTGTCGAACTTATTGTTTAGAAGGGGAATCCCCTTCCATTAGGACTTTTTGGTCCGAACTGGCAGCATCACCATGCCTAATCACACTATGTATGCCACTACGATTCTTAAATCTTTCAAACCAACCTTTGCTGGCCTTAAATTCACTCACATCACCACTAGTTGCAGGCAATTTCTTTACCAAATCGTCATGCAACTGCCTAGCCTTTTCACAAATGATCGCTTGAGAGATGCTATCTCCTGCTATCTGTTTTTCATTTATCCACACCAATAACAGTTTCTCAACATCTTCTAACACTTGCGGTTGCTGTTTTGTAATCACAGTTGCACCTTTTGCAACAACAGCTTCCTTGATTGCCGTTTTCCTGGTCACTACAGTAGCGATGGTTGATTGGGGTTTTGTATACAACCTGGCCAGCTCCGACACACGCACTCCACTTTCATACTTTGCAATTATCTCTTTCTTCATTTCAATAGTCATTAGCACCCTTTTTCTCAAAGGGTTGGCACTGGAAGCTTTCTTGGGGCCCATGGTGGCTTATTTTGCAGAAACGAGCACACTGGCTGGCTTGTAAACACTGGCACACACGGAGCAGTTCAGGCCACATGTGGACACGTCTTGGACGAATCACGTATACCGGGTTTTTTAATGGGAACCAAGGCAAAATTTTTGCATTAAAATGTATCGAATACCGGATTTATCGGATACCGATGTCATCGCGAACCGGGGGTCCACTGTATATGTAAGAGCGGTATTGTAAGTGCTTTTGTAAGTGTATTTTTGGGGTCTGAAATGGACTAATCTAATTTACATTATTCCTTATGAGAACAAATTCGTTCGGTAACAGCACTCGAACAGCCTTCTGGAATGAATTATGTATGAAATTCGGGGTACCACTGTATATGGAAAATGCAAACAGATCTCATAGCAAAAATACATACGTAAAATACAAACTGCTGTGATAAAAGTAAATTTGATGCTCATTCACCAACTTAAAAATAAAGGTGACCAATCATCCCCCTATGCCCCCCAAGAATATGATCCACTTCTATCAATTACAGTATAGTGGAACCTTGGTTGTCGACTGCATTACTTGTCAAACAAATAGTTTTTCAAACAAGGAATTCAAGAAAAAATGTCCAGGTTTTCGTACATTCGTCTCCATTCACTTCTATCAAACACGCTCACGCACGCCTGCTGGAAGTCCAAGCACCTCGCACACAAAACCTCCTTTACCCCCTCCCTCCAACCTTTCCTAGGCCGACCCCTACCCCGCCTTCCTTCCACTACAGACTGATACACTCTTGAAGTCATTCTGTTTCGCTCCATTCTCTCTACATGTCCGAACCACCTCAACAACCCTTCCTCAGCCCTCTGGACAACAGTTTTGGTAATCCCACACCTCCTCCTAACTTCCAAACTACGAATTCTCTGCATTATATTCACACCACACATTGCCCTCAGACATGACATCTCCACTGCCTCCAGCCTTCTCCTCGCTGCAACATTCATCACCCATGCTTCACACCCATATAAGAGTGTTGGTAAAACTATACTCTCATACATTCCCCTCTTTGCCTCCAAGGACAAAGTTCTTTGTCTCCACAGACTCCTAAGTGCACCACTCATCCTTTTCCCCTCATCAATTCTATGATTCACCTCATCCTTCATAGACCCATCCACTGATACGTCCACTCCCAAATATCTGAATACATTCACCTCCTCCATACTCTCTCCCTCCAATCTGATATCCAATCTTTCATCACCTAATATTTTTGTTATCCTCATAACCTTACTCTTTCCTGTATTCACTTTTAATTTTCTTCTTTTGCACACCCTACCAAATTCATCCACCAATCTCTGCAACTTCTCTTCAGAATCTCCCAAGAGCCAGGAGAGACAAAAAACCAGTGAGATTAACAAGTTAAGGAAGCCTAGAGAACAAATGGATTTGTCAGTTAAAAATAGGAGAGGGGAGTTATTAAATGGAGAGTTAGAGGTATTGGGAAGATGGAGGAAATATTTTGAGGAATTGTTAAATGTTGATGAAGATAGGGAAGCTGTGATTTCATGTATAGGGCAAGGAGGAATAACATCTTGTAGGAGTGAGGGAGAGCCAGTTGTGAGTGTTGGGGAAGTTCATGAGGCAGTAGGTAAAATGAAAGGGGGTAAGACAGCTGGGATTGATGGGATAAAGATAGAAATGTTAAAAGCAGGTGGGGATATAGTTTTGGAGTGGTTGGTACTATTATTTAATAAATGTATGGAAGAGGGTAAGGTACCTAGGGATTGGCAGAGAGCATGCATAGTTCCTTTGTATAAAGGCAAAGGGGACAAAAGAGAGTGCAAAAATTATAGGGGGAGAAGTCTGTTGAGTATGCCTGGTAAAGTGTATGGTACAGTTATTATTGAAAGAATTAAGAGTAAGATGGAGAATAGGATAGCAGATGAACAAAGAGGCTTTAGGAAAGGTAGGGGGTGTGTGGACCAGGTGTTTACAGTGAAACATATAAGTGAACAGTATTTAGATAAGGCTAAAGAGGTTTTGTGGCATTTATGGGTTTGGAAAAGGCATATGACAGGGTGGATAGGGGGGCAATGTGGCAGATGTTGCAGGTGTATGGTAGAGGAGGTAGGTTACTGAAAGCAGTGAAGAGTTTTTACGAGGATAGTGAGGCTCAAGTTAGAGTATGTAGGAAAGAGGGAAATTATTTCCCAGTAAAAGTAGGCCTTAGACAAGGATGTGTGATGTCACCGTGGTTGTTTAATATATTTATAGATGGGGTTGTAAGAGAAGTAAATGCGAGGGTCTTGGCAAGAGGCGTGGAGTTAAAAGATAAAGAATCACACATAAAGTGAGAGTTGTCACAGTTGCTCTTTGCTGATGACACTGTGCTCTTGGGAGATTCTGAAGAGAAGTTGCAGAGGTTGGTGGATGAATTTGGTAGGGTATGTAAAAGAAGAAAATTAAAAGTGAGTACAGGAAAGAGTAAGGTTATGAGGATAACAAAAAGATTAGGTGATGAAAGATTGGATATCAGATTGGAGGGAGAGAGTATGGAGGAGGTGAATGTATTCAGATATTTGGGAGTGGATGTGTCAGCGGATGGGTCCATGAAAGATGAGGTGAATCATAGAATTGATGAGGGGAAAAGGGTGAGCGGTGCACTTAGGAGTCTGTGGAGACAAAGAACTTTGTCCTTGGAGGCAAAGAGGGGAATGTATGAGAGTATAATTTTACCAATGCTCTTATATGGGTGTGAAGCATGGGTGATGAATGTTGCAGCGAGAAGGCTGGAGGCAGTGGAGATGTCATGTCTGAGGGCAATGTGTGGTGTGAATATAATGCAGAGAATTCGTAGTTTGGAAGTTAGGAGGAGGTGCGGGATTACCAAAACTGTTGTCCACAGGGCTGAGGAAGGGTTGTTGAGGTGGTTTGGACATGCAGAGAGAATGGAGCAAAACAGAATGACTTCAAGAGTGTATCAGTCTGTAGTGGAAGGAAGGCGGGCTAGGGGTCGGCCTAGGAAAGGTTGGAGGGAGGGGGTAAAGGAGGTTTTATGTGTGAGGGGCTTGGACTTCCAGCGGGCATGCGTGAGCGTATTTGATAGGAGTGAATGGAGACAAATGGTTTTTAATACTTGACGTACTGTTGGAGTGTGAGCAAAGTAACATTTATGAAGGGGTTCAGGGAAACTGGCAGGCCGGACTTGAGTCCTGGAGATGGGAAGTACAGAAGGAGGGGTGTTAATGTTGCAGTTTAATTCTATTTACATTATTCTTTATGGGAAAAATTACTTTAGTTGTTTTTCCTAAGAGCATAATACCGAATTTGTAGTCCTGAGTTTCTTGACGAGGAATGTACATACATTCACCAAACCTTCACTGATTTACATTTTCCTTCCTTTTTCATCAAAGACTGCAAGAAAAGAGCTCTTCAGATCATTAATTCTCCACGCACCAACACCACTCCCAACAAAGTTATAATTCTTCCCAACAGCCAAGTTGCACTGAACGTTTCTAAAGTACTTTAATAAGCTAACACCAGAGTCACCATTGTTTCCAGCACTTCGATAAAGGATCTAACCAGAACAAAATCCAAGCACCACGAACCAGTCAATGCAGCGGTTTACACTACATCCTGTGGAGGCTGCGACAAGATTTATGTAGGTGAAACAGCAAGAAACCTCGACACCGCCTCAATGAACACATTTACTCATGTAGGAACGATAACTTGAACAACGCCTGTGTACAACACCGAAATTCCACCAATCATCTCATGAAGTTCAGGGACGCCCAACTAGCGATCAAGGAAACTAATTTCTGCAGACACAAGTGCCTTGAATCTTCACTAATAGCTGTTTCTAATACAATTAAACAAAACAAAGGAAGCTTCACCATCTCTGAAGTTTTAGCAAGAATCCTCCTGAAAATAGTAAACCCTGCCATCACATAGTCTCTCCTGTTAATACTACACAAGCACATGAACACTGAAACAGCCCTTCTCTATCCAGCCTCCAATAGAAATATTTGTCTAACCTATTTTTATATTTCCCAAATAATAGCCTTCATATCCTTTTACTCATGTGCAGGTTAATTGTTGTAACATATTGTATTACTACTAATACTACTACCTACAACTTATATCACTACTACTACCACTAGTACTGCGCCTCGCTCTGAACCTATATATATCCTCTGTGTCCTTGTACTGTTTGTAACGGCTTGATAAAGCTCCTGGAGAGCGAAACGTTGCCACAATAAAATGTCACATTAGTTGCACTTGTGTCCTTTTACTTTACATATTGTCGGTAATTCTACAAACTTTATTACAAGATTGCAATACTCCAATCCCTAAAGCAGAGATTAAAGTACGTAAGAACATAAGAACATAAGAAATGAGGAACACTGCAGGAGGCCTGTTGGCCCATACTAGGCAGGTCCTTTACAATTCATCCCACTAACATATAATCAGCATATAATCAGTGAGACACACACATCAAGATGAATAAAAACTGACTATATTGTATAATAAACAACAGTGAAAACTTCTAAGTGTAACATCCTGGTAATTTTAGAACTTCCAGACTGTGGATTTAAATTCTCTTTTCACAGAACTACTTATGCTCCCTCATAGTAAATTTCCCAGGAAAACTTAATAAATTTATTGAAAAATTACCACTGAATAAAAAACAACACTAATATTATAGAAAATTCCCCATACAGCACAATAAACACATAATAAATTTATAGAAAATTCAACATGCTGTATCAAAAATATACATACTATAAAACATATCAATCATGCAGTCAAGTCGCTTAATTCTCGTGGACAACATCTCGTGAGGTCTGACGATCTTCTCTGTGAGTAGTTCTACAGGCACCTGAAATACAGCACTGTACAGTATCACTCAATGTTGTATCATGAACTTGTAGAAATAAAAATTATTATTATTATTATTACATACCCATAAAATAAACCGAGCAATCACATAGCTGCTACTATTACTACTGCTACAAGTACAGTAGGGCACTGCTTTACAGCATTTCACCTTATGACATTCTGCTAATATGGTGATTTCAAATTATGACCAAAATTTGCTAAACAGTGAGTGGTCTTTCAAATATGGCGCACCCCACCCGGTTTGTTTACATTCCCCATCAGCACATCTCTCTATTATGTCTGAAAATTTTTCAAAATTTCAAGTGTTTTCAAGTTATTGCATATTTTATATATACTCTGATTATTATACTTATAGAAAAACTTTTGTTTTTCTTTTTAGGCTACCCTGCCTTGGTGGGATACGGCCAGTTTGTTGAAAAAAAAAAATTATACTTATGTGTACCTGTACATAAATATAATTACACACTGTGGTGGTGTGCAGGTACACATTAAAATCACTAAGTCTCTCGCTACTCAACACCATATAATCTCTTGGGCACACTAAATGTCGTCTATTACGTTAATATAAACATTTCCAATAATCCATCTGTGATATTTTTTCAAAATTATGTAATAAACATGCTACATAACATATAAACATGATACATACACCCACAATATAAAAATTAACATAAATATGAGGTTTGTTTACCAAGCGGTTGGTAGGAGAGTCAGAAGAATTTTGTTTTCTCTAGTCAAACACCAGTTACTTAACTGTGGAAAAATATTCCTTTTGTATGCCTTCACTCTAACTATAGCTATTCATGACCCTTGTGGGTTTAGCACTTCTTTTTATTATGATTATAATAATAACTTGAAATAATAATTTGTAATAGTAACTTGTAATAATAATAATTTGCCAGAGCATCATTCCTTCTAAAAATTACATGTGAATGAAAGTGCTGGTCTTTATTTATTCTACTGTATCACTGTGGAGACAACTTGTACACAATGTAAAGTGTTTGCATGAACGTGTATGAACTATTACCAGACAGTTTGTTTATATAAGTACTCTGCGGCTCTGTCATCTTCCTCATTCTCTCTCTCTTGTTTATTCATTTTTATCTCGCTTACTCACCTCTCACCCTATATTAAGACTGCAAATACATATTTTAAGGTAAGTAATGAGTGTACTGTACACTATATGCATTTTATCGCTCTAGAGTGCTTTAAATGTTGTAGCAGGTGGGGTGGCCAGGTGGGCTACCATACCCTACCTCCTACACAACTTTCTACAAATAAATACTTTTCACCTCTCACCCTACATTAAGACCATTAAGACTACAAATATTTTAAGGTAAGTAATGAGTGTACTGTATATGCATTTTATCACTCTAAGGCGCTTTAAGCGTAGCAGTATATTATGCGTGGGTGGGGTGGCCAGGAGGGCTAGCCACCACACCTGACTTTTTACAATAAATACTACTCACCTTTTTGCCCTACATTAAGACTACAAATATTTTGAGGTAAATAATGAGTGTACTGTCTGTGTATTTTACATTTTATTGTTTTTAATGCTTAGTTCTATTGCTAACTTAATATATGCTAGTGTAAACTTGTTATCTGGCATTTATATGCATTTATAAGTGGAAAAAAGGCATTTTGCTTTCCAGCATCGTCTGCTTTGCGGCAGTAGCCTGGAACCTAATCTGCCGTATAAGTGGGGCCCTACTGTACTACTACTACAAGTACTACTATTTCTACTACTACCACCACCACTACTATTACTACCTACAACGATTATATTTTAGTTTTACATCTCAATCTAACAGCTATATATATACCCTCTATGTCCTTGAACTGTTTGTAATGGCTTGACAAAACTCCTGAAGGGTAAAATGATGCCACAATAAAATTTCACATCAGCTGCACTTCGTGTCCTTTTACCTAACATATACCCATAGTTTTAATTAATATTTAATTCTGAGTATTAACCCTTTGACTGTCGCAACCCCCAATCCTGAGGTGTCTCCTGGTGTCGCAAAATTTAAAAAAAAAAAAAATAATTTTTTCTTATGAAATGATAGAGAATCTTTTCCCGATTGTAATGACACCAAAAAAACGAAATTTGATGGAAAACTGACGGAATTACGCTCTCGCGAAGTTAGCGACCTCGGCGCTGTTTACAAATAGGCGATTTCGCCCACTTTGAGCCCTATTCTCGGCTAATTCCATTGTTCCCGTCGACCAAACTCATAGCTATTTCTTTAGAACTCCATTCTTTCTATCGACTGAGTACAAGAAACTGCCCATTTACCGATTTTAACTACCTAATAATGTGGTCAGAAATTTGCAATTTGGCCAATTTCACGAAAACTAAAAAATATGACAATTTCAAAATAAGGTCCAGAATGAACAATGCAGACATTCCTGGCTCTAAAATAACATTTTCTTTGTTCATCAATCATGTCTCCAGGCCTCTCTGATATTACTCTTGCTTTCTATTTTGAATTTTTATTCAAACAAAAAATTGAAGACTTACTATTATGCAGACTACTGCAATACTGTAATAATTGTATAAATAACATCAACTCATTCATGACTGCATATTAGAATGGCTAATTGGACATTTATTGGACAATGGCATCATTTGTTTACTTTTGAACATTGCCAAAAATCAAACATTTCCCCTACTTTGAGCTCCATTTCTAGGTTCTTTTTATAGTAAAATCAATCAAAATCACCTCTATTTCTATAATATGTTTTCCATTCTATCAAATGAGACCAAGAAAACGATAATACAACCATAAATACTATACGAAAATAGACCACAAAGTCGGCATTTTAATTAAAAAAAACGGTCAGAGCTTTTTTTTCCCCATTATGCACTGCGTGCTCCAGGAATTTTTTAATATGGTGCACACTGACCACACAGTCCCATTCTTTCACATGTGGGCCTACCAGCTTTCTCCTGCTTGATTTGAAGCCGCTAGAATTTATGAGTATATATACGTCAAACACGGTACCTCGTAAGACGTACATATACGGCCGCGACAGTAAAAGGGTTAATATCACAGTATTATCTGAAGTTCCATTATAATACACAAAATTAGAAAGAAAATTTCATTTCTTATAAAATAGTTATATATCATTTTACAATTATTATTTCAAAGAAGTTCGGGCGAGATATAAGCGACTATTGGCAGAAAGGTGGGCTAGTGCAAAGATGAGTAGTGGGGGGGTTGAAGAGGGTTGGAATAGTTTTAAAAATGCAGTATTAGAATGTGGGACAGAAGTTTGTGATTATAGGAGGGTGGGGGCAGGAGGAAAGAGGAGTGATTGGTGAAATGATGAAGTAAAGGGTGTGATAAAAGAGAAAAAGGTAGCTTATGAGAGGTTTTTACAAAGCAGAAGTGTTATAAGAAGGCAGAGTATATGGAGAGTAAAAGAAAGGTGAAGAGAGTGGTGAGAGAGTGCAAAAGGAGAGCAGATGAAAGAGTGGGAGAGGCACTGTCAAGAAATTTTAATGAAAATAAGAAAAAATTTTGGAGTGAGTTAAACAAATTAAGAAAGCCTAGGGAAAGTATGGATTTGTCAGTTAAAAACAGAGTAGGGGAGTTAGTAGATGGGGAGAGGGAGGTATTAGGTAGATGGCGAGAATATTTTGAGGAACTTTTAAATGTTGAGGAAGAAAAGGGGAGGCGGTAATTTCATGCACTGGCCAGGGAAGTATACCATCTTTTAGGAGTGAGAAGAGCAGAATGTAAGTGTGGTGGAGGTACGTGAGGCATTACGTAGAATGAAAGGGGGTAAAGCACCTGGAACTGATGGGATCATGACAGAAATGTTAAAAGCAGGGGGGGATATAGTGTTGGAGTGGTTGGTACTTTTGTTTAATTAATGTATGAAAGAGGGGAAGGTACCTAGGGATTGGCAGGAGCCTTGGTATTGTCCACCCTTTATATAAAGGGAAAGGGGGACAAAAGAGATTTATAAAAATTATTAGAGGAATAAAGTTTAACTGAGTTACTACCAGGAAAAAGATATACGGAGGGTTTAATTGAAAGAAGTAGAGGTAAGACCATGAATTGTTAGGATTGCGGTTGACAGCGGGAGGCTTCAGAGTGGATAGGGGCATGTGTGTAAAGTGTTTAATTGAAGATTATATGTGAACAGTATTTAGATTAAAGGTAGGGTGTTGTTTATTGCATTTATGGATTTAGAAAAGGAATATGATAGAGTGCGTTAGAGGAGCAATGTGGCAGTGTTGCAAGTATATGGAATAGGTGGTAAGGTACTAAATGCTGTAAAGTAGCTTTTATGAGGATAGTGAGGCTCAGGTTTTTAGGGTATATATAGAAGAGAGGGAGAATACTTCCCGGTAAAAGTAGGTCCTTAGACAGGGATGTGTAATGTCACCATGGTATGTTTAATTTATATAATAGATGGGTTCTAAAAGAAGTAAATGCTACAGGGTGTTCGGGAGAGGGGTGGGTTAAAAAACATTATGGGGAATCAGATTCAAAATGGGAAACATGACAGTTATTTTTGCTGATGATACTGTGCTTATGGGAGGATTCTAAGAATAAAAAATAAAAAAAAAAATTGCAAAGGTTAGTAGCATGAGTCTATGTGGAATGTGTGTAAAGGTAGAAAGTTGAAAGTGAACACAGAATAGAGTAAGGTTTTATGAGGGTATCAAATGATTTAGATAAAGAAAAATTGGATTCAAATTGGGGAGGAGGAGATGGGAAGAAGTGAATGTTTTCAGTTTACTTGGGAGTTGAAGTGTCGGAGTGTTGGGTTTATTGAAATAAAATGGCTCGAGGTCGGGTTAATCATTGATATTGAAGAGGGGAAAAAAGGTGAGTGGTGCGTTGGGTATATGTGAGTCAAAAAAAGTTATCTATGGGAGGCAAAGAAGGGATTGTATGAAAGTATAGTTGTAACCAACAATTAATTTGGGATGTGAAGCTTGGGTGGTAAATTGCAGCAGCGAGG